GGGCTTATAAGCGGGGGGAGGGGCTTATAACCGGGGAGAGGGGCTTATAAGCGGGGGTCATGAGCGGAAGTTGATGGTAGCTTAGTAGACTTGTTAATGCATGTTCATGAATCTTGCAGCCTATAGGGCGAGTCAAAATGCAATCGAGAGGTAAAACTATTGGCGTTTTCTATTCAACCAAAAGTTCCTGAACTTTCGAAACGGGCACAGTTGGTACCAAAATTTCCTGGAAAAGTTTCCCGCGGAAAAAATCGGAGAATGGTAGAACTTCTAAACTACGAAACATTCAACCGAAAATTCCACAAATTATCGGAAGAAAATGAAAAGGAACCGAAATCCCGGAAAAAAAAATTGGAAAATTAGCTTACACGTCGCGAGGTTGTCCTCTTTTCTGGAAATTCCGGAAAATGCTGTTTAGTTCACCAAAGGAAATTCGGGAGATTCAAACTGCAACTTTTGTTGGAATGGAAAGCGCTCTATTTCGATAATATCATTATTTAACGACTTTTCTTTTAATCTGTCCACCGACGTTCATTTTTTTTTTGCTACGAGTAGTGTCTTCGAGCTCGCGGACGATTCCATTTCATCCAGTCAGAAGTAAACAAAAATCAATCAAGATTCGCTCACACACGTTTTCCCGCGCTCTGCGTTGGCTACCTGTATTTGCTTTGAGTTGTGATTAGTCTCCTTCGCAGCCGTTATTAGGGTCGTCACGCAACGTTCCTCTCCACTAGTTTATAGTGGGGAGAGGCGTTGCGTGACGACCCTAATAACGGCTGTGAAGGAGACTATGCCGTGATTGTTTCACTGGATTTTCTGTGGCCTTTGTGTTTGGCCAGAGTAATTACTTTGGTTTTGATTTTACGGCGCGAAAACTTCTCAAGGAAGTAAACATTTACATAATAACCGAAATAACCTATCAAAGCAGAGAGATTCTCGTTGTAATTTAGACTCGTACAACTAACTAGTTTTCCGTTTTTGTTTGCAGTAATACTGCCCAGGACCCTTTTGAAAGAGCGGAATCTAAATACTCTGTCTCGGGTACGGTACATGGTCTATGTTAGCAAATTCTGGAATCAAGTGAATTTATATTGAAAGATCTTATATTTCTCACTACGCGACTTGACCAGCTCCCAGTTGGTAGAGCACTGCACTGGTATCTCAGTGGTCATGGGTTCGAATCCCGTTCAAGCCTGAATTTCTTTCAGGCTTTAATTTCCCTGCTGCTGTGTATGTAACTGCGATGATCGATCATGTTTTCCAATTCTGGATTGTCAGTAAACATGTGAGTCAGTTAGTGCCTCAAGTTACTCTGAAAATAATACTGAGTTCTTCCCAGAAGTGTTGAAGCTAGGGCATTGCATGCAATGGTGGAATGCTCTACCAGTAAACTACAGGAAATTCACGAGTAGGAACTAGGCCATCCAAGATAGTGTCTCAAGTTAGCAATGAAAGCGTAGCATTGGTTTTGTTGAAAAGCCCCAAATTAGAAAGAACATCCTAATTTATGTACAAGCTGGGATTCCTGTAATTTTCAAAAGTCATTCTCTTAAAATTTGTTTTGTTTGATGGACATAGCTTCTGTCTTGTCGAGACCCTCGTCACGAAGGACGAGAATAAATGCAGCTCTTTATGAACGTGTTTCACTTCGCGTCTGACTCTTGTTTTTGGTGAGAAAACGGAAAGACCATCTGTAGAGCGGTTTTCACTTGGCATTGTGAAGCAATTTTGCGTTTGCCTTGGTTCTTCGTTAAGAAACCTCTGTGATTGGTTAAAAAAATATTGTTAAACCTTTTTAAACAATCAAATCAAACGCACTGTTTTTCAACCAATAAGAGCGAAACTAAACCTAGTCTTGTCTTGCTTCAAACGCTTTTTTCCCGCGCTTGGCGCCGGTCACGTGATTTCTGAAATTCAAATACCGATTGGTTTATCGGTAGTGTTGTTTTTGTTTGCTGTCTTTGGTCAGACTTTATATCTCTGGTTTGGGCAAGTGTCAACACGCTCAGATGTCTTATTGTGGAGGCAGCGTGGCCGAGTGTTCAGGGCGCCGGACTTGAAATCCGGAGGTCGCGGGTTCGAGTCCCGTTCTGACCACTTAGCTGGAGTTGTTTCTCGGTAGCCCCTAGTTCAACTCCTCGGTCATGCATGTGAATACCCAACTGGTCTGCCTCCCACGATTTTTAAGCCTATTGTTTAGTTGACATATTGGTTTCTTTCCGTTTAAGTGGCACGCCTGTGAACAAGCTAGGTGTAGCTAAGCGCACTGACTGCCATAAACAACAACATTATTAGCATTAATATTCACACTTTCTATCAGATTAGTAATCTCTGTTCTTTATTTTTCAGTTTCCAACACCTTCAAGGTGGAGAAGTTTCACGGGCTCATCCTTTTGAAGCATCATAATCCTCTTGAGATCAACGAAGATATGGTAAGTAACTCATGTCTTACAAGAAAACTTCATCATACTTCATAAGAAGTTATAATTTATGATCGTGTCTTAATTCATTAGCACAGGGTTCATCTTACAGTTTATGTTTACTAATTTAGGTAGAAATTTATAACATTATTTGTATGCACTTTGTCATATTTACATGAAATGTAATTACCGGTAATATTTTATCCACGTTAGTCATGAGGGCTGCCCGAAGCCCTACGTAGTCTGTAGATAGACCCTCCTTTTTGTCTTGAGTTCATCGAAATCGCAAGCAAATATTAACCGGGGGAGATACTAACGAGGCAAAACGCAAGGGGGTGGGGCTGGGGATAGACAAAAACATATATTTTTTCGCCTGCTTTGCGCTCGCTCTCGTGCTCCGCGCTCGCTCGCTCGAAGAAAATTATAAACGTTTTTGGACAGACTAGTCCTATCTGGTTCATTAGACTATGCGTCTGAAAAGCCGGCGTTTTCAAATTCCTCCCGTTAAAGATCGTTTTTCGAAAAGCTCCGTTTTCGTGACGGATTAGTGCGGACGGTAGGCGTATCCGTAGAAAGAAACCTCCGTTTTCAAATTCCTTCGGCGTAGTGTGGATGGGGCTAGGAAAACTTGCACATTGAAGAACCAAAAAGAAGATGGCTTTTGGAAAATTTTAATTACGCTTGTAAACGACATTACAAGGCGAAGAGGGAGGTTATAATTGAATTTAATAAAGCGTTTTGTTTACGCAATATATCGAAGACGAAAAACCGAGTTTGACCACATTTCCAAACATCGAGAAGAAAGCTGAAAATACGAAGCGCAGTGGAGTGCTTTTGGCGAACCTCGAGTTGTTTGCGAACGTGGTCAAACACAGTCTTGAGTGTTTCATGTATCGTCTCAATCGAGACTAAAACTAAGGGGAAAACGGAAAAACACTCTTGTAAAAATCTATGTTAATTAAGATCAGACACGGTCACAATTTCCTTTGTTTAAACTTGATGAGTTATTAATGAGTCTCAGAAAATCCTGTTCTGATTTATGACTGATTTATGAAGTCGACTGACGAAGCAAAATTTGTTATATGAATATTCGACGCAGAGGGTTTATTTATTATCCAAAAAGGTTTTCCCTCGCAAAGTTTAATACATTATACTTTTCTTTTTTTCGTAATATTAAAGAAAAGTTCTTTGTTGCTAACAAGTCGGTTCCAGCTTTGTATTAGCTAGCTACTGTATGTAAGAAAACCCCGAATATCCAGAAGGGCGAGCACATGTGTAAAGCTATCCTTGAATCGATATGTCTGTTGGACTCTTAAGCATACACTCTTTTTAATAAGAATATTGTTTGCCCGTTCCAGGCTGATTAATCTTTCTTTTTTTGCCGATATTGGGCATTTCGATTCGACTTTGGTGCCGTTGAAGTGATGTTGGAGCCAGACTACAGACACTAAAGCCTGACATGACACACATAATTTCTTGCAGAAATGTTGTTAGCGTCGAACATACGGCTAGTGCTGTTTTTTGTTCTTGTTTGGCTACTTTTACTGTTTAGAGAAAGGCAGAATTTTATATGGTTCAGTTGTAAACATATAATTCTATAGTTACAAATTTTCAACACAAAAAATTAAATTCTTCTCAAAATCTCAGCCTCGGGTTTACACCTAAAATATTCTTAAAATTTTGCAAATTTCAGCCTCGTTATTCTTATAAAATGTATTCTATATAAATAAGAGTGAAAAAAAAAGTCATATTATGTAGGCTAAATTCAGCAAGTTTGCGGTAGATAAAAGAAAGAATTGGTGGTTGGTTTTGGTTATCAAGCCTTTTGACAACTGGTTTTCAGCGTTTTGACGCCTGTTGAAATACAACGACGAGAGACCGCGCGTAATTGATTAATTTTTAATCAACTTTAAAACGTGGTTTGATTATGTTGCTATTGGAACACAAACCTGGTGGGTTTTATAGTTTAATTGGACTATTCAGTATCGGCGAAATTCGAATAAAACCTGGATAATGAATCTTAAGTCAACTGCTAAATCAATCACATTGCTTTAGAAAATCCCAAAGGCCAGAACCTGGAGAAAACTTAAAACAGAAGCCACACCTTTTCTCTTAAATACGGACATATCGCTAACAAGGCCCATATGGGGTGCGATTTTCGAAGTCTGTACTTGCTTTTTTTATCGCGGTCATCTTAATTGCTTCGACACAGAGCGTTTTTCAAAGCTTTGCGATACTTGGGGAGTCGCCATGCGAAGACAAACGGATCAAGCAAAAACTTCAAATATAATGTGTTCTCAGTGATAACGCGAACCACAAAAAGGGTTTGGCTCTCTCTTGTGCTTTCGCCAGCGTACAAATATATATACCACAGGATCGCAGACGGCTGGGAACAAACCAGTAATATGACAATAAGGAGAAGATTTAGCCTGACAAAATTCCTCTCGACCATTGGTTTGCGTTTTTGTTTTCGCGTCGGGCTTTCAAGCGTCGCTCCTGTCGACGTGCTTGCTGAAGTGGTGAGGTGCAAGGTGACAGAGCGTTCCGCCATCTGCTTATGGAACGCCACTTGTAGAAGCACATAAGTTATAATGGTAAAAAGCAGTGAAAATGTCGAATGGAGATGAAGGTCGATCTTTTCTATCACCTTTCTGGGGACGCCAATGGTTTGCGACAATTCGAATAACGTTGCATACGTCCAGATGATCGCCACACATATTAAAGTCTTACGAACGCTTATCAGGCGCTTGTACTTCAGTGGGAATGCTACTGCAACGTACTGAGCGAAGGTGAAAGCCATTACTATAAGGAAAGAAGAGTTCGTGGTGATTGCAGCGACAATACCAGCGACTTGAAAGATCTTCGGGCACTGTGTTTTCATGGCCGGGTGATTGTTGTAATGCATGAAATAACAATTTGTGACCATCGGTTCTGGAACCAGTCCTGTGATCAAATCAGTGATCGCTAAACCGACAAGGAAACAAGCTGTCGGCGTGCGGAATGTATTAAACGAGTCTTTGTAGATAGCTACCAGGAGAAGAACGTTGGCGAGGACTGTTAACGGACAAATCACGGCTAAAAATGTACCCGAGACCAAGAACGCGGTGCCAAGGTTTGGCGATTCAATATCAGTCGCATTCACTGTTGAATTCATCTTTCGCTCAGCTTTGAACAACTCCACTCTGGTTTAGTGATCTTGATATGGATGTAAAGAGTTGTTTTGATTTCTCTTTTCTCTGGATGTGAGCTTTTAACTTTTAACTACGATACTGTTGGGTTGCTTCAGTTTTAAGTCGTTTTAAGTTTCTTCGTGGTCCACGTTGCTGTGTTATTTGCACTGATGTGAGCTCGAAACCCTCGGTTTTTCTCCCCAGCGCGCCTCAGAATCTTGTCAACGAAGGCAGCGATGTTCCATTTTGTACATGACCCTCAATCTGTATTGATCTGAAAAGAGAACAGTGGTGAATGAACAATGTACATTGTCCTTATTTACAACTCAAGCCAATATAGTCATTTAAATGCGCAACGAAACTCGACCACTATCTGACAAAAATGTTTGTCAGCAATCGTGTTTCCTAGATACTTCAACGAACCTTACCAGCGCTTCTGTTTTTTGTTTTCTTTTGTTTGCTTAATGTTAGTTGCCGTCACGGTTTTGCTCGTCATTCAATCTCTGGACAAGCGAGGAAGTAAGCTAGCAAGAACGCAAACAAGCGTTGTTTTATAGTTGCCTTCAGAAGTTGACATTCATCCTCACCTTTCGCAGTTGAGCGTTTTTTAATTGTCATTGTTCGTGTTAAGTCTTAAGCCTCCCGTACCTTTCAAAGCAAGCACCTGTTAGTAGAATTTACATGGCATACAATGCCATGGTTTAGATATTTGACTTGCGGTGTGCAAAGGTGATTTTATATTTTTAATTCATCAAAGGTATGGTTGAATAGAACGCCAAAGTGTATTTCATTTTTAAAAGCTTTGATTGTCATTCAATCTCTCTCCTCTGACCTACACAGAAAAAAACACAGCTTTTAACCTGCAGTTTCCTGTTTCTTGTCATATTTTTGTTGCACCCCAAGTGGACGCCATTCATAAAACGGCTCTCCCTCAATGTATTGTGAATAATCGAGGATTTTCATTAAGTTTTGCTGTAAAGAAATTTCCATTTTGAGTCGTTGCTAATTTCCATTCCATTCTTTGTTGCCAATTAATTAAAAGAAGAAAAAGGAAAAAGAAATCATCGAATTAAAAAAAAAACCTTCTAGGTTTATTTTTGTCGATGAGTATTTTTTCGCAAACACTGTTTTTTGGGGGGGGAGCGACCAACTACTTCAATGTCATCTACGCAAAATTAAGATTGAACGCAATGTTTTTACAGCAAATTTCTCTGGGTAAGTAATATCGAAATAGCTTTTAACAGTAGTAGTACCGGTCCATCGATAAAATCCAACCTAGACGTGTCGATAAATTTTAAAATAAGCTATTCATCTATGTAGCCAACGACGAAAACGCTTTTAAGTTTTGGTACGGTTTCTACACGGGTGGTTTTACAGTAGGCGTTGTATCA